GGGTGAAGAACAGAACTTTATCTTTTTCACCTCCCCGTTGTGGGTACTCGAGGAAATGGGTAAAGGCTCCCAAGAGGGCTCCTATGGTCACAGTTCTAAGTTAATGTGATCGCACTGGCAAGGCTTATTCTGCTCTGACAGCTGAAATAAAGTTATGCTCAAGATCTTGAATGGTTTCGCTCGATATTTCCTTTCTTAGTAAGAGAAACATTTTTCCCGCAGTACTGCTTGGCAAGCCAATAAATGCGAAAATGCATGGAGAGGATATCGCACAAGCTCATGTACGAAACAAAGTAGCTCCAATTAAAAGTTGGATTGTATAAGTGCGATGCATTGGCGTGATAAGATCTCCAGTGATGTTAGGAATCTGGGCATGGAATTATGGGGAATTATGAATCCCCTTCGCTATGCGCCTTTACTCCCTGTGTCTGTGCGAAATGTTGCATCTTACATTGGCTAGTACCAGTAGCTTTACGCCTGCGACTGCGACATACCCCTTTCGGGTGTGTGGAGTGGTAATAGAAAAACTGAATTTTGCGGATGGAGTTTCGGGTGCAAAGTAACCCGACTCCCACGACGATGTAGGGAACCGTCAGTATGAGGACATTCCGACTCAGATCGTGTAGTACAACCAGTGTTTGAATGGCAGACTTTCAAGAACCAGGGTTATGAGGGCCAAATACAAGTACAGTATAAATCCCAGTTAAACTATGCAGATGTAAGAGAATTTTCCAAGAGATCTGGATAAATAACACATTGTGTACAATACAATTTACCTCGTCGATCTGCCGCTCTGACCTAAGCCTCAGTTTCCTTAGTTGAAAGCTTGACGCCTCAAGGCGATGACTTTTACGGCCATAGGTTAGGCAAAAAGACTCAAACACGGACATCTTCGTGAGCAGTACGCGTAGTGTTAATAAGTTTCGGGTAGGATTGTGAGGGGGGGAGGGGTAAGGATGAATTTGGGATAAGGGAGCCGTGTTTGACCATGCTAATAAATTTCAATATTTACATGACATGGTGCAACACAAGATAAAATGACCACATGACAAGGCCACGGTGGACATGAGCCTTATCAGTTTTGCAGGTTTTCTTCGTATGTGTGCTGCTTGTCATCCGCATCTTTCTCATACATACTCTCCCACTACAAATTGGTTTGAACCAAAGCAAAGACTGGCTTGTTCCTAAGTACTTTCCTATGTTAAGTGAGAAGACACATAAAAGGGAACTAATGAAACCACTACTGTATGGTACGATTCAGTAATCAGTTAATTATATCATTCGTATCCAGGAGCGAACTGGCACGCATCCACTGTATTCCTGTACAGCCTATGGTTTTGAAAGGCATAGGTTTGTAGGCCTAGGCAGAGCGACCGACCAGTCGTTTGATGCGAATGGGTTTGTGATAACTTCCACACTAAGTCAGAAATATCCAATAGTAGGCCAATTTCAACAAGTTATCTGCATACGTTTTGTTTACATAACTATTCTTCATGATTCGATATGTTATCTTAATGCTATCGATTTCCACCTTATTATACATTAATTGACTGACTTCTATAGACATTAATTGTCCCTAATGGTTAGTGGCAAGGTGATAATGAAGTTTGTCACTCCGTCGACATCTTCCCTCTTTGACTTCCCCTTTACAGATTTAGTTGAATATTTCATCATTTTCTCCATTCTGCAGTTCCTGTAACTTCATTCTCGTACTGAGTTTCCTTGCATCACACTGGTCCGCAACCGGACCTTCCCTTCAAGGCTCTCTTTACTCTTCGTACAGGGTGTTTCAGTCGATTAGACACCATTTTAAAATAATATGACTCTTAAAGTATGAAAGCTGTCACGACAGCTTTCATACCATTTCATTGAACAGACTACAATGTTTTTCCGTGGAGTTTGCAAACCTAACTCGACGTCGTTCACTTACCAACACGGCAAAGAACCCATTAACGCATTAAATTTCATGAGCACGCCATTGCAAACCGCTATCCACACGTCTTCAACAGTAGATTGTCGAGGCCTCCGACTATCCCCGAACATCAACCCATGTGACTTTTTCTTTGCGTTTGGGGATACCTAAATGAAATAGTGTTCAAGAGAACTAATGACAGTGAGTGACAGTGAGCTGTTGAGTAGCTCGAAGAATAACGTGCCTGTACGCCTCCGCGCCGTCAACAATGCGCGTGGTTGTCATATTGAGCGTACCTCGCGCTTAACTGCTCATGAAAGTAAACTCCGAAGTCTGTTCTCTATTTAGAGGTATGCGAATATGTGGTATGCGGTAAAGGTATGCGCTGTAGCATGTATACATAAAAAGTTTGATTTTTTTTAAAATGGTGACTAATTGAAACACCTTGTAATCGATCAATGTCGAGGGATTACTGTATGTAGATATCTTACTCAGACATCCCTGAATTAACAGTATGGCGCGTAACAACAATTTCATGCATCCTGGACAAACCTAGTCGAGACGGTTCGAGGACCTCCATCCTCGATCGGCCGGACGTTCCACGCTCACTCGGAAATGGTTCATGTAACTCGAATAGCCCTCTAATTGGTTTAACGTTACGCGTCCTCTCTGAAATAGTTCGTGAATGCCTGAAGAGGCCTGCAATCGGCCAAACGTCACACGTCCTCAACGGGATGTCTCGAAGACCATGAGATTGATTCTTATAGACCTAATTGCCCCATAAGTCGAGTATTGCGTATATTTTAGTGCGTAAAAAGGTAAGCCCTGGCCTGACCTGACTGAATCAGTTCGTCAGTTAGGCATTGGCTTAACGTTAGTGGCTCACGTCGGGAGGGGAGGTGGAGTCGACGTTCAAGCGAGAGGAAGGCATTTAAACAGGATTTCACATTACTCCATCATCTCAATATCCGCCAATCCTATTGATATAGAAAAAGACCGATCACAATATCTGTTTTGTCACGTTTAATCTGGCATTCCCATAGGTACTATGGGGTAGTGCCAGATATTGCAGTCGATCTCACTTTTTTTTCATTCCGCCAGTCCGCAATAACCAATGCAAAGGGTCAACACGACCCGCTGTGCATGTGCAAGTTTCCGCCTGGGTCGGGGTATTTGTCTTCCACAAAAACATATACTTCCTTTCCAGCTCTGGCGGTTGACGGATCCATAGTAGACAATGGGGGAGAGCGGCTGCTCCCGGCCACGTATACAGTGTTGCTAGGCGTACGCGTGAAATGCGCATCTGACATTCAACACATACGCTCCTCTCATCACGCAACGCGGACACGAGAACCGTCGAGAACATGGGTCAGTTGTACTGCCACAGTAAAGTCAGATTCGAGAAGCATGGTAAACAGGCTCCCAAAGTCAGACTTTGCGCGAAAGTTTGACTTGACTAGGGGCTAGTTGCAATGCCTCATTTAAGTTGTGCGGACCTTCTCATATAGGCCTATACCAATGTATATTATTTAATTCAAGGTTGGATGGTTAGGATGCGGCAAATATAATCCCTGTGCTACAGGGGCCGGTGGAATGCCATACCTGTACCTGGGCTGGTACACTGTTTTTCCATTCCGTCTGCCCGCAGTATCCGTAGCAACCGGACCACTCGACGCAGTGAACTTGTGCAGCTATCTACCTGGGTCGGAGTGCCATCCTACGAATATTACTTTCACTTCCTTTCCAGCCCTCACGGATGACAGATCCATAGTAGGCTATAGGGGAGAGGGACTGCTCGTGGCCGCTTAGGCAGGGTTGCTGGGCGTACTCGTGAAATGTTGCATCTCGCTTTCTACGCCTAAGCTCTCCTCCCATCTTTGCGCGAACCATCAAGAACGTAGACCTATATGAAACATTCCGGACAATTAGACAACGACGTACCTATGATAGTTGGTACGTCGGCACTAGGCAAATAAGTGCCATAATTGGGGTAGAAAAAAGAAAATGTTTTCATCGTGGAAAACTGTATGGTTCACTGAAAATTGATTCCCCGTTACTCGTCCCATTAAATTATATTCTCTCTATTCAAATCAGAGGTCAAGAGATAGCGTAGGTTCTCCATTTCCAATTGGCTCCAATTGCCACTGTGCTGCTGCCCGAGGTGTGTCTTTGACACAATAACGTATAAATATTATTGACCAAACTCTACATGATGCACTGGACAGTTTACACTCTCGACCTATGCCGCGGAGCATACTCAGCCGTTTACATGGATAGGCCATTGAATACAGATGTCATATTCGAATGAATTCGTTTCACGCAGTGGAAGGAAAAGGCCCTCATTGTCTGGTTTCTTCGTGTTCCTCCTTCCCTTCCTCCCCTATCTAGACGTGAATTCCTCGAGAGGGAACGCTCACCCTCTGCTCTTCACATCCATGGAGGCTCTCGCCAAAACCATCCTGAGCGACCGGCTGATAGTGAAACAAGAAGGGATCGGACCTCATTTTCAACGCCTATTCCTCGATCGCTTGGGATACGTCCCCCCCACAAAAAAATAATAATAAAATAAAGTAAAATAAAACAGACTACACGATTATATTTGGGGACCTGCTATCAAAGTTCTGCGATCACTCGAATTCTTTCGAAGTCTCACGTCTAGAGATAGTTTGTGCTTGTGATTTCTTATCCTCATAGACTCGCACACAAACATGAAACGCTTAATTTTCTTGGCTTTGTTTCCCAATTACAGAAGCAAACTTGCTCTCAGATGTGTCAATCGCCTGCCTAGTAGGCCATCCCCGTTAATTTATTGAATTACACGCTCAAAGCAAATAAATGTTGATGCAGTTCATTTACTGTAATACATTCATATTGTCTTCAAATTTTACTGGACTCAAAGTTTTTGCTCCCTTCATTTGTAATGGCTTTGTCGTACCTTTGACTCCATACTGGAATTATTTGATTATATTTGTATTTATCTCATGAACTAATGCAATGTGTTGGATCAAGGAAGGTTTAAAGTGTGTTTGGGAATGGATTTTCATAAATCGTATGCAAGCAAAAATCAACTAGCTTTACAATTTGTGGAATGAGGTATTTATTAAAGCATTGCTCATCTGTTAATGCCATTGGTCGCGGAATTCCCTGTTTCAGGTTAAAGGGACCCTTGAAGACTTTCAAAATGTACGAAAGAGATCTCAGAAGCCTGAAAACCATGATCATAGACGGAAGTATACCCATCGATGCAGACCTTTTCCTTAGTAAATTGGTGCGAAAAGACCTTATTACAGAAGTGCAGGAAATTGAACTGAATGCAAGGAGAACCCGCAGGGCGAAGATCGACGGAGCTTTTAACATACTCTTTAAAAGAGATCCCCTACCGACGTGCATCACCCTTCAAGAGATTCTGAAAGAAATACATGGGGATGGCATCCAACATCAGGTACTGATTGAACCTCTTGGAATCAACATACAGAAGAGCTCTCAGCATGATGACCCTCCCTTTAAAGCGGGTCTGGTTTGCCAAGTTAATTTCTGTGAGAGATTGCGATACGAGTTCACTCTATCACGCTGCCATTTCCGGAGTAGTTCGACCGAAAAACATTTATTTCAAAACGTGATTCGCGCTCATTTTGAAGTATTTTAAAACGTGATACTTCTATCTTACGTGGATTCTTCCTTTAGTCAATAGAAGAAAACGACTGAAAAGGCGCGGACCATAATCTCAAATAAAAAACCACTCATAATGGCAACATTTCATTGTAAAATGATTGACAATTTTTGGAGAAGGTGGCACAATGGCTCAACTGCTTTTGGTAATTACATGTTTGAGTATTCACGGTTTGGTTACGGTCATTGTGGTATGAGGGTCATTCGTATTCTTTCAGCATTTCTGCCTGATGGTCAGCAAAACAATTTTTTGAACCTCAAGCCATTTCTAAGCAGAGAAGAGTTCATGTTAAAACGGCCAAGTTTGATCATCAAAGAGGCACTCACATTGAAGAACAAAACAGTTTTTCTTTCCTGCTTTTAGGCATACATAAATAGGAATGTTACCAATGATATGAATATTTATGGCCCATCCTGCAGATGTGTACACATGCCTTGGGAGCAGTCCGACTTCCAGTCGCTGTTCCTTGGTAGACTGCGTGACACCTGTCCGCATTCTATTATTACTCTAAATGTGATTTTCCTCTTGGGAAGAGCTTGTCCCGTTCCAATTAAAGGCAGAGGTACTGCAATATATTCAGAATGAGCATTCAGTTTTAATAGAGTAAGGTCCCCTAGACGTAAACAGGATGTCATAGAATCGACTGAACAAGATTCCTTCCGCTTAGGCTGCGGTGCAGAAAGGCCTAATATTGTAGGCATTGCGCATTTGGCTAATATAGCAGCGCTTTATGTCAGAGCGGGCCGAATACGTAACTCCCTATTTACAGTCAATTACATGCCATCTTTTATAGAGTCGTCCATGGAGATGCTCCTCTTGCTTTATGTGATACTTGGTGAGAAAATGGAAATTCATCATTTTCTTAAGTGCTATGTATAATAAAATCTTTTTCTTGGAAATGGCATCAACGGGTTCCGTCAGTCCAAATTCTCTAGTTTTGCACCAACATTGCATTATGTGAGATACGATTTGAGGCCAACGTCAAATGTCACCATTGCCATCGTTGTTGATGGTGGGAAAAGGTGTTGGGCCATTATGTAACTGCTATACCTTTGACAGATTCAGAGGGGGAGATCCTCTTCCCTCCGGGAATTCCAATCTGAGAGGGAGATGACCACGGAAGTGAAAGCTTTGACCATCGCCAAGCAAGCCATGAAGAACCATGACCACTATACTGGTTACAAACAGAGAACAGCGGTATGAATTTGGAAAAAATTTGTTACTTTACTTACTCGGTTACTTCATTTTCTCTTACTTATTTTCCGCCCGCCACGGTGGATGTCTCTTGCTGAAATACCCAGTACTAGTATTCATTCTGATCATCACTCCTACTGACCCCAGTGATGCGGAACGCCATATTATCTCAGGTTCAACCATGTTACAGGGGCTTCCGTTGAGGGATACGAAGACGAGCCAAAACCAGCATGAGTCCAGCTCAAGTATTCCATACTGGCTCAGTCGTCGCCCAGGATAATCAGGACTACGATAGTCACTGTGCGCCCAGGGTGACTATTGATAAGTTGACTGCTGGAGCCGGGCAATCCGGTGTCTCTGGGTGCCTCGGACCCCGTCATGCTACATCCAGACCTAACGATTGGCTTGCCACCGGCCATAGCGTATTCTCGGCACGATGCCCCAAGGGCAGGCCAGGAGCGGAATCTAACGGTAACGGACTCTGAACATCGGGACTTGGAATGTGCTAACACTCGGCGGTAAGGAGTCGGAACTCTTGGAGGAGGCTAGGAGACGACTAGATATACAGGGTGGCCCAGATTAATATATATACAATCTTTGAAAGCGCCGTGTGCGCGTCACGCGCGACTGACGCAATACAAATTGCGCGCGTTATGTGAGCAAGGGGATGCGAAAAAGGCGCGAATCATGAGGATCGTCCATATCAAGATGGCGGCGCAGCGATTGAGTCTGGAAGAGAAGGTGGATTGTGTGAGGTTGTACTCAGCGACCAACAAT